AAGTTTACTCAATCTTCAGATTTTTTGGCCAAAAAAAACCCAACTTGTCCACATTGTCTCAGTAAGTGCAGATCTGCTGCAGCTACAACGTCTCCAGCCGATGAAAATACACTTTCGCTTGAGACAGAGGTCGCGGGTGGGAGGGGAAGCGGCGGAGATTCCCTGTTGGCAAAAGGCGAAAGTGAAGAGCGGGGCGTGACAACCGTAGTTTTACGAGGATTCGTGTGGTTCGGATTGACGGAAGTCAAGGCGGGGGGGCAATTGTTGACAAGGCGGCCGCTCTAACTATAAAGCGCTGTGGAAAACACTGCCCCCCCAAACACGGACGAGTTCCCTCATGAATATTAAAGAACCGAGCCTTCCGTGTAGCTGCACATGTAGTGGCGGAATGTAAACACCAAAACAATCCAGCGTGAATAAATGTACCATTACACCCCTAATACTCAGTATCCCGAATACTGCAACATAAAGTTGAGTGCACATGCTTCCAAAAGACAAACAACTTTTCACTCTTTTTCATCACAACGGTAGCCCACATAAATAAGTGACCAGCATAAATAAAGTGACCAGATAAATAAAGACATAAAGTGACCAGCCAATAAATAAAGTGACCAACATAAATAAACATAAAGTGACCAACATAAATAAAGTGATCAGCATAAATAAAACATAACAGTGACCAACATAAATAAAGTGACATCAGAGCATAAATAAACATAAAGTGACCAACATAAATAAACATAAAGTGACCAACATAAATAAAGTGACAGCATAAATAAATGACCAACATAAAGTGACCACATAAAGTGACCAACATAAATAAAAGTGACAGCAACATAAATAAAGTGACCAACATAAAATAAGTGACCAGCATAAATAAACATAAAGTGACCAACATAAATAAACATAAAGTGACCGACATAAATAAACATAAAGTGACCAACATAAATAAACATAAAGTGACCAACATAAATAAAGTGATCAGCATAAATAAAGTGACCAACATAAATAAAGTGACCAACATAAATAAACATAAAGTGACAAACATAAATAAAGTGATCAGCATAAATAAAGTGACCAACATAAAATAAAGTGACCAACAGCATAAATAAATAAAGTGACCAACATAAATAAAGTGACCAACATAAATAAACATAAAGTGACCAACATAAATAAACCAACATAAAGTGACCAACATAAATAAAGTAAATAAATAGTGACCAACATAAATAAAACATAAAGTGACCAACATAAATAAAGTGATCAGCATAAATAAAGTGACCAACATAAATAAACATAAAGTGACCAACATAAATAAACATAAAGTGACAAACATAAATAAAGTGATCAGCATAAATAAAGTGACCAGCATAAATAAAGTGACCAACATAAATAAGTGACCAACATAAATAAACATAAAGTGACCAACATAAATAAAGTAAAGTGACCAACATAAAACATAAAGTGACCTAATAATAAGTGACCAATCATAAATAAAACATAAAGTGACCAACATAAATAAAGTGACCAGCATAAATAAAGTGACCAACATAAATAAACATAAAGTGACCAACATAAATAAAGTGACCAACATAAATAAACATAAAGTGACCAACATAAATAAAGTGACCAACATAAATAAAGTGACCAACATAAATAAACATAAAGTGACCAACATAAATAAAGTAAATAAACATAAAGTGACCAACATAAAATAAACATAAAGTGACCAACATAAATAAAGTGACCAACATAAATAAAGTGACCAACATAAATAAAGGACCAACATAAATAAACCAACATAAATAAAGTGACCAACATAAATAAAGTGACCAACATAAATAAAGTACCAAGTGACCAATAAATAAAGTGATAATGTATATATATAAAGTGTGTAATATTCTTATTTTTCTATAATAATATTATTTTTTTACCAATAAACACTGTAATTAATTCTTACAAAGACAAACACTATTATTGATTCTTGAGAAAGTGAACCCTATAATTGATTTTTACCAACGAACACTATAATTAATTCTTACAAAGACAAACATAACTGATTCTTGAGAATGTGAACACTATAATTCATTTTTACCAGTGAACACTTCAATACATTCTTACCAAGACAAACACTGTAATTGATTCTTGAGAAGTTGAACACTCTAATTAAATTTTATCAAAAAAGGACAGAGATGCACTTCCTTGATGTTATCACACATATTTAATTATGGTTTGAAAGTCATACCCATTCCTCTGTCCTAGTTTAGTGAGTTCCTCTGAAGCCTGGGAGCACCGTAGTTCACTGAGGGGTCAGCAGTGGAGTACAGTGTGAACCCGTCGATACATGGGCCACAATACGAAACATATCTCGATACAGTGAGCTTTCGAGTACGATTCAATATGATATATTTCAAATCAATTAGATTCCTTTCATAAAAAAAAAAAAGGCTAAATCATGGCTGTGATACTAAAAGTCTTTGTTAAACCACAAAGTGAATATAAAACACACCCATTTTAATCAACAAAACAGTGAATATGTCAAATGTGTCGCATAAACAAGTTTCCTTCCTCTGTAACAAAATAATTTGGTAAAATATACAAAAAAATAACTCTCCTTGGTGATATACGAGCTCCATAGGAGCCCCACGATATTGATACTGTACTACATCATGACCAGAGGTGAGAGTAAACGATACGCTATATCGATATTTCAATATTTTTTACACAACCCTAATAGTGGTGTAACGATATCCAAGTCTCACGATACGATATTGTCACGGAATGAACCTCCCGAAAGATATTTATTGCGATATCGTGTGAAAGCTCACGATATGGTGGGGAAGGCTCACGATTAAGGATGTAACAATATCCAAATCTCTCGGTACGATATTTTCACGATATACATCTCACGGTACGATATTTATTGCGATATTTTGTGGAGGCTAAGAAAACTGTTAATACTTTTTCCTCTTAAAATGCCTTGACAAGACTTAATCTAAAGAACTAAGACTTAAAAGTGCTTAGAACTGTTATTTCTTCTTGTAGTCTGCACTGAAATGGAGCAAAGGATCATGGTCTATGTAGTTCCCTTTGTGTTTTTTTTTAACTATTGCTGCACCATAACTTTTAATTTAAGCAAAGACACTTGTAATTTGATATATTGTGATGGTCCAAGATATTATTGTGAGAACTCTGACGATACGATATCACGATATTTCCGTTATTGTTAAATCCCTAACTCCGACTATAGACTGTATAAAAAAGTGAACTAAGCGAGTGTGACGTCACCCATAGCGTTCGCCTCTAGTCAAATGAATGAAAAGGATATTTTAACGGACAAAAGAGCGAAATAAAAACGCCAGGATCATGTATCATCAGGTCATCGGGTTAATACGAACATTTTAAG